ACGACCTCACTAAGGATGCGATCAGAAAATTGCTTGACCGTTTTACGCTGTCGCTGCATTATAATGTCAGCTAAAAAGAGCATAGGAAACACTGGCAGATGAAGAGAGCATTCGGAGGATACGTTTAAAAATGACCAGGTCTTTTTTAAGTAAAAGTGGAGAGCATTAAAGAATGTGTGTTTGAAGTTCTGTTGAGGTGTAGTCTGATGAGTGGTCTAGTTATTAAATTTTACGCGCACTTTCCAACCAGATCGGTTCTGTCATTAATCTACCTTTGGGCCTTTTCAGGACGTTTAAAGTGCATAAAGATTCAAAAACCCATTTGCAGTATTTTATTCCCATTGTCCTTTTCTTCATTGTGTAGGAAGCTCTGAAGTTCCCTTTGGAAACTCTGCGACAACGCCGGTAACTTCACCGGAGCCCTCCCTCGCCTTCACTGTGGAGTTGAAGGGAGAACAGCTGCTCACACCTTTGCAGCAGGTAGAGCGGGTAAATACGGATTAGCATGCTTTTGCCTATACTACCAGGACACGATTATTTAAAATCAACTTTCTAGACTAAGTGCCTAAAGTTGCAATTTTTTCTCAGGAAAACAGAAAGTCTGTGAATGTGGAAAGCATTATTTATAATACGATTAAATATTTTGAAAAATCGGACTATGGTAAATGGGAACGCAGGCAGACAGAGAACTCTGTTTAGATGAATATTAATCATCAACTTTTCTGATTCACCTTAAACACCCCCTCTGAGCTGTCGTAGATGTGCTTATCTCCTGCACTACCCGACAGATACTCTCCGCTGTCTGTCCGACAACGCAAACTTTAGGCAGATCGATCGACTTGCTGTGATTGCAAAAGAACCTCCTGTCAAATTCTACCCTGCCCTAATCTACTTGTTGATTAGAAGCAGAAGACCGTTTTAACACATTTGCGCATCATGAAAGACATTTATTGCGTGGATTACACTATTGTAGACCTTAAGACCATTCAGTTTGCAGATTTAGTGGAAGAACAAATGCATTGGGGACATCTACAAGTCATGTCGTTTTAGCTTGGAAAATGTTTTTAAATGCGCCCTAAAGCGAATGAAATCGACAACAATCCCTGGACATATATCTAGAAAAAATGCCTCTATTTATGTCCCATTAGGATTTTTAAAAAATGCCACCCTGCTGCTCCATACGACTTTAAATGTCCGTATTTGCTGTCAATATTCCCAACTGCCCACAATTATCTTATTTGAAAGGCGATCACTGTATGTAGCCTTCCAATTATTTTAACTGCTGGCATAAAGTAGATCGTTCTTCTTTGAACGATTTCCCACTTTTACTGGGAGATAACTTCCGTTCAAACTTATCGTTTAAATGTATATAATACATCGGTCTTTAGGATATATTCCTTTTAATTTAACATCCTTTACAATTGTTAAACCTTCAGAGACATAATAATGGAACACAGTTTGATGGTTAATTTGATGTTTCCTTGTAGGGACATGCGGACAACCATAAAATGTTACTAAATGTTTAGAAAAGTGACTTACGTTCTACACAAGCTTAAAAAATTTGCTTATATCAAACGTGTACTACTCGTATAAACTGGAACACACGCATCCCAAGAAATTTAAATTTGCAGATGTTATTTGGAATAAAAAGTAACTTTAATGAGTGAGTTTTCGAGGCTTCGAGGAATTCTCGGCCATTTTGGAAGTTGTGATACTGTAGATTGTGGCCAAACAGGAAGATCCATCTCCACACGCATCCACGAGCACCAATTGGCCGTGAAGAGACATGACCGTTTGTCCGAAATGGCCATGCATTGCCTCGACCCAGGACACACCTTTGCATGGGATAAAACACGCATCGCCGGAGTTTGCCCCTCCAAAAATGGCCGAGAATTCATTGAAGCCATGCACTCCGACGATTCATGCATCAACCGGCACGTCGAGTTGGATGATATTTATAAGCACGTCAAAAAACGATGGGAAAGACAGAGGCCGCACGACAGAGACTAACTGAGGCCACACCTACCAATCACGTCTCGCTCTGTATAAATATTGATTTTTCGGCTGTTTTTAGTTGTTAATTGCACTTTTTCTGTTAGTTCGAAGGCGAGTTGGGTCGTCAAACTCGAAAATTCACTCATTGAAGTTACTTTTTATCTCAAAGAACATCTTCAAATGGTCATTAACTATGTGATTTTTTTGGAATGCAAACCTTGCTATCATTATGTGAGATGGCAACCACAACAATTAGAGTCCCTTTGGCTAACCTGTACAAGACTAAGAATCTGTTATTTTTTAATGTGTGGCGTTTTAGATGTCCTCCTCAGTTTCATCTTCCTCCTCCTCGTCGTCCTCTGCTGTGGCGGCGACCCGGATTTTTTCTAACTCTTCGTCTCCCTCATCCCTGGCCTCTTCATTTGGTGGTTCACCGAAACTGTTAGACAAGGAGTCTTCTTCTTCCACCATGTCCTATTCAGCCTGTAATGAGAGGAATTTCAGTTCCCCATCTCAACAACAACAGCATCAACAACTGTCAGATCAGACACCCTTACAGCTACGGCAGCAGTCACGAGCCCAACCTCTGTCAAGGAAGCTACCGCCACTGCAACAGCCACGACAGCGTTCCCTATCCGGTGCTTCCAGTAGCGGCCCGTTGCATCTGCTGACTAATTCTGACATCCATCAGTTACTTAACCTCACCAAGATGCGTGTATGTGGATGCTTTTGAGTGTGCTCTCAGCTTACTTTGATCTAGGTTTTCACAATACCATAATCAGCGTCGTGGGTTGGCAGTAATCGCCAATAGTAATCTCGTAAGAGCGATTTCGAAAATGATCGAAGTCTGTCCGTCCTATTTACTTTGCCATTAAATGTCGACGCTTGAAGATAAACTGCTTCGATGGCTTGACTTACACTCTTATTTAATTGCTAATATTTTGAGATCACAAGACAGTCACAACGTCACGATGTTTTTACTTCCCTGAATGTCATAGTAGCTAATATTTTCCAAATTCGGCTTGTATTAATGGAATTGTAGAGGGAAAGCGCTTTGTTACTGGTCAGAATCTCATACGCAGACTTCAAAAACGTCACGGTATTTTGCTTACCTTTTGCGTCGATTGACGTTGCCTCTTCGAACATGGCTTGGGACCCTTCTCATGAACTTCAGTTGACTGTTCGTTCTGTCAATTTCTCTCCTCACAATCTTGTCTACCACCGAAAATGGTCATTGGCTGTGTTGATGCGCCACAGAAGCCTGCTCTCAAGGCTCCTTTCAGTAATTTCCAGAAGTTTTCGACTCGTATAGGAGCCTGGCAGCAGACACAGTATATGAAATGCCAATAAAATAGTGGAAATTGTAGTGCCTTAGCGCGTGTGTGTGTGGTCAAGAACGTGGTCCTGCAATCTGATGCCAGTTCGACCGTCGTGAGGTCCACCGTGTGCCCCACGGAAAGGTGGCATAGGGCGAGCGATTAGCGCATGCTCAGATTATATGATGAGTAGACCTCTGTTGTATCTACCGCATTCTCTCCCTCCTAGCTGAGCCCAGTGTCATGACAAAGTCCAGAATACCGTAGGCAGGAGAGGGCGCACGTGGCTGGCGCGGCCGCAGGGACCACATTAAGCAGGAACCCTCTCAGTCCGCTACTCCACACAAACACGCTGGGCTGAATGCGTGGTCCAGTTTTTTCCCGTCAGTTGGTACCTTTCAAGCCACTGCTTGTAGCGCAGCTTGATAGTTCCATGCGCGTCAGATAATTTATAGGTGGGAAAATGCACTGAGCTATTAACCTCAATGTCTGTTCCAATTCTCAGGCCGCAGTTACTGTCCGAGCTGGTCAATTAAATGCTAGTGGACATTATGAATTGACATGCCAGTTTATGGAATTATAGCATAAAACTCAGGCCTCGAATAGCTCTCGCCCTGCTTTTCTCTGCGCGCCACTGCCTTTGGTCCCACGAGACTGACCTCGTAGACTGCTTGCCAAGTGTGACAGGTTTCCTCTATACTGTTGGTTTGTGATCTCGTGTTGTAAAGTTGACTCTTCTTATAGTCTGACCTGTTTTATCCTATCGCCTTTTCCGCTATGCTGATATGTCGCCTTGCTTCTTTGTTCTTCGATAATGCAACTCGTTTTCAGCCATAGCCACGTGCCTAGAATACCGACAGTGCTCATCTCTTTTCTTTTTTAATATGTCTAACGAGTTGTCATACTAATTAGACATTACTGCAGTTAAAAAGCTGATCCATGCTCTGGATTTATCTTTGATTTTTGTCACTACCGACTTGGAATTTGCGTCTCCGCCTCTGTTCGTACAATGAGTCTGCTGTCGGCAATTAAAAAAGCAGTTTAAAGGAAAATGTAGGTCTAACTCTCAGTCAACTTGCAGCTATTTTGTTTACGCCGAACAATTATTATCTTGTCGATTTGTCGGCGTACTTTTGCAATTGAACCTACGCACCTCGAGCCCCACCATATCCCCCGTAAACTGCTGTTATATAGTCTTGTGGATACCTGTCTAACATTGTGCAAATTCTGTGTTGCTTGGCGACATGAACCAGCCGGTGTCAGGCATCGTCTAGTACGACTTCCCGATTACCATCTGCACCTAATATAGTGTATCTGTCTTGACCCAATCCTTCCGGTTATACGAAGGTAATCCATTAAGAGCGAGTAAATTCGACGTTCCAAAGGCTGTCACTGCCTATTAACCTAAATTACTTGTTGAAACTTGAAAGGCTTGCGACTGACCGATAACATTTCACTTCCTCTAGTTAGTCTTCTAGTGTGACATTCGGCTGCGTGAAGTCTTGGTCAGTTGACGGGGGGGGCGTAGTGCATGTAGATTTTTCAGTTAATTGCAGCTGCACTGCCAACCCTCGGTTTAAACATTACACTGTCTTTATTCTAGGCATAACCGTCCTTGTCTCTGTTGGTAATGCCTAAAATAAAAACAAATATTACTGAAACATTGTAAGTAACATTACATTTAGTCGCTTTGCGACGTTCGCTTGTATGTGTACAAGCTCGAAAGGCACCAAACAGGACGGGTGCATCCTGAAACGGGTCGGTGTATGCTGCTTATCTTCTATGATATTGTCTGCTCTCCAGTGTCCTTCGGCGTTCCTGTTTGAAATGGCCTTCTCTA